CTGGTAGGTGGAGCCCGTAGGCGGGTGCGCGGTAGCCCCGTCCCACCTTCGGCCCCTGCTCCACTCTGGGCCTCTTGTCCGGTCGGCTGCGGCTGGTGCTGGCAGTCTTCGTCGTGCTGCGGCTTGTTGCGCCGGTGGTGGTGGTGGTGGTGGTGGTGGTGGTGGCGTCGGTGCAGGTGCTGCTGCTGGTGGCGGTGCTGCTGCTGGTCGTTGTCGTGGTCGTCGCCGCCGTTGTGCTCGTGGTTGTGGTCGCAGTGGGGGTGCTGGCGGTTGCGTTGCTGGTTGCCGTGGTCTTGGTGGTGCTGCTGGTCGTCGTGCCGCCGGCTGCGCAGTCTGTAGTGTTGCAGGTCGCTGTCGTGGCGCTGGTGCTCTTGGTAGTTGCTGCGTCGCTGGTCCGTGTCTGGGCGCCGCCGACCCCCACGTCTGTGCCCAGCGCCTGGTGCACTTCTGGTTCGAAGCCGCTTCGGTTCCACATGCGGCGCTGGCCCAGGTTCGCCTCGATGCCCGCCCACCCTCCCGCATTGAGCTGCAGTGGCACGCTCTGGTCTGCATGGGAGGTCGACGTCGACGAGGTGAGCAAGCAGCTCCTCTCCAGGTTGCAGCTGCGCGTGCGCGCCCTCTCCAGGGCGCCGTGTGTGGTCAAGGGATACAGCGCTGGCATAAGCGGGTCGCCCTGCTCTTCCGCCCCCCCGTCGCAAATCCTGCGTCGTTTGTCCACATATACCTGGACGGCTGGGCGGCTGGTCGTCCGAGGGCAACACAAAATGGGAACCAAGGCAGAGGCCCCAGGGAAGTCGACCAGACGGTCGCGGCGCACGTGGTCGAAGGAAGCAATGCCGTTGATGCTCGCGATCGTGGCGGTGCCAGCGTCAGTGGCGGCGCGGAGGGAGTGGGCCGCGCTGTCTGTGCCAGCTCGCGTCGACAGCGCGTACTGGGAAAAAGCCGCGCAGGCGTCGTCCACCTCGGCCCCAAACTGCCGAGAGAGCGCCTTCGCGACGAGCCCGCGGAAGGCATCTCCTGCCACTATCCCTCGCGCGCGGCCGTTGTCCTCCAGCAACGCGGCCAGGCGGCCAGTGCCAAGGGCGCGGGCGACTCTCACTGGGATTTCTGCCCGGGCGTACACCTCCGCCACGGCAGCGTGGAGCTCGAGCGTGTTGTCCTCGTCCACGGCCAAATTGAGGAGCTCACCGCTCGCGCCGCTCAGCAAGCTAGAAGACCCCTTCGGCGCAGAGCGGACGTACTCAGTCCAGATGCGGCGGTCTAGCTCGACCGGGCGGGCTGGGCGGAAAGCGCGCGCAGCTGACGGCAGCGCGGCTGCGGGCAGTGGTGGGCGCCAAGCGGGGCCCCGCAGCTCAGCCAGCGTCTCGGCCGTGCCTGGCGCTAGCCCGCGCGACGCCAGCAACTTCCGTGCTTCGCTGCGGCCGCCGGCCCTGACCAGCGCCATCGCCTTCTGTAGGGTGCGCTGGCGGCTCGCCTCGGCGTCGTCTACGTGGCGCGCGGCTGGGGCGCCATGTGCCTGAGCGCTCGGTGCGAGCCGCGCTTCCCGCGAGCCCTCCTCGAATTACTCCAGTCGCTTTTCGAGCTCTCACCGCTCTGGGGCCCCGGCGCTGGCGGGCCTCTGCAGCAGCACGCGCCGCAGAAGGATCAGCAGCGTCCACGCCCTGAGCCTCTGCAGTTTGCCGTCCTCGCCGGAGAGAGCGTCCGCGCGCACGACCCCTTGGAGCAGCAAGTGGTAGGCTTGCCGGAGGCGGCCTCGAAGGAACGCTGGCGGCGCTCGGATGCACGCCACTCGGCGGCGGAGTTCGGCTTCTCAGGTCGACGCCGTCAAGAAGCGCCCAGGCGGCGTCAGTGAAGGCGGAGCGGGCTGGGCGTTGTCGACTCGCCGCGCTGCCACCTCGGCAGGGCTGGGCCTGCGCTGGCGGCACAGCGCCAGCTCTGTCGGAGGCGCCCTGGGCTGCTGCTGCTGCTGCTGCTGCTGCTGCTGCTGCTGCTGCTGCTGCTGCTGCTGCTGCTGCTGCTGCTGCTGCTGCTGGGCGGGCCCCCGCCTCCACCGCCTCTTCCTCCTCTGGCGCCTCGGCCTCTGCCTCCTGTCTCTCCTCTGCCGCCTCTTCCTGTTCTGCTCCTGCTGGTGTCGCCAGCCTTCGGTCCCTCTGCTGGCGTCGTCGCTTGGCAGAGGTCTCGGTGGCGCAGCTGGCGGTGGCGTAGGCGGGGCGGCTGCGGCCCACCTAGCTGGGCCGCCCCTCCGAAAAGCTCCAGCAACAAAAAAAAAAAGGTCCTGGCCGAGGTCGTCGATGTGGCTGGCGCTGTCTGCAAGCGTTCTTTTTGCAGGCTGTAAGTTGACATGTCCAGGGCGCGCCCCGCTTCCAGCGGCGACCGCGGCATACATCGTTCCTGGGCTAGCCCCTGCCTGCTCCTGGCCCTTGGGCGAAAGTCTCGGCTGGCATGGGGCCCGCTCGCTGCAAGGCGTCGACTGCCGGCTGCCACCACTCGCGCGTGAGCGGGTGCGTTCTTCATCACGCCACTACCTGCTGGTCAAGAAGCCACGCCGCCGCCAGTAACAAAGGAACGTAAACGTCTGAGTTGGTTCGTGCTCGCAAGGGGCCCGCTGGGGGGGGTCATCCGGCGAAGCGGCCGGGCTGCCGTTGCTGTGCGTTGGTGGGTGCTTGTTCGGGGCACGCCCCTGCGTCTGCTCCTGGCGCGGGCGGCGGCTGAGGGCCAGCGGCGGCTGACTCAGGAAGCGGCGGAGTTCTCAACCCTGGCAGAGCCAACCTCCTTGCCATATCCATGGCTCTCTCCTGCGGCCCTTGTAGCCAGCGCGACCCACTGGATTGGCCCTGGCTGTCCGCAGGGGTACTGCGGCAGTCTCGCGCCTTGTGGCGGCGGGGCGTCGGCTCCCAAGGGCGCGACGTCGCAAGCGACGCATTCCCAGGTACCGAAAAGCCCGCGAGGTCCACGATAGTGCCGCCGCCGCATGGCTTGCAGGTGTCGCGGGCGAATTGCGATGGCATGTGGCGCGGGCCCTCCAGGTTGCAGCCAGGGCTCTCCTGCGTAAGGGTCCGCCTCCTCCTCCTCCTCCTCCTCCTCCTCCTCCTCCTCCTCCTCCTCCTCCTCCTCCTCCTCACTTGGCAGGCCGGCCGCGGCTCGGCAGCGTGAGCACCTGCACCCTTGGGTTGGGTAGTGCCCAGATGCGTTGGGTGACGCCACGAGGCCCGCAAGCGCCGCCACGCCACCTGGCGAGTCACCCCACGGGCTGTTGCAAAGTGGGCACGGACTTTTTGGCTCGGGACGCGTCCCCTGAGTGGAGCAAGTGGACCAGGCCCGCCCATGTCGGCCGATGTCTGGCCGCGCATGCCGTGTGGAAGCTGCGGGGGACACGCCCGCAGGCTGGCCACGCCACGGTGTCCCCTCCGAGCGGCGTCTGGCAGATGGCGCGGTGGTCCTCATCTTGCTGTTCACGCTGCCGCTCTGCCTCTCTCGGGCGCCTCGGCGTTTGCGGCGGGAGCAACCCCGAGAAGTGCCACCGCCTCCCTTCTGGCCCGGGAGGACTTGCAGGAATCGCGCTGAAAACGCTTCCGAAGTGGCTCAGCTGTGGTGGCGGTGGCGGTGGTGAGGCCGACCGCCCGCCTGCTCGCGATTCTGGCGTGGCGAACCGTTCTGCCGCCGACAGCATGTGTGGCGGCGTCTCCGCCAGCGCTGGCACTGGGGCAGACTCCCCCGATCTGCGTTCAGGTGTGCCCGGCAGCTCCGGCTGGCCCGGGGGGGCCTGGGTGGCTGGCTTCGCCGACCCGTTGTCCGCGGTAGCCGTAGCGCGCCTCCCGTGGACTCCTCGCCAGTGCGCACTGCTCCTGTCGTGGTGGTGGCGGTGTTTGTGCTGGCGCTGGTGCTGATGGCGGCGCTGCCGGTCGCCGTCGCGGTGCTGCTGCTGGTCGCTGTCGTGGCGGTGGCGTTGGTGTTTCTGCTGGTCGCCGTCGCAGGGTGTCGTCGTGGTGGTTGCCATGGTGCTGCTGCTGCTGCTGCTGCTGCTGCTGTTGCTGGTGCTGGTGCTGGTGCTGGTGGTGGTCGTGGTGGTGGTGGTGGTGGTGGTGGTGGTGGTGGTGCTGCTGCTGCTGCTGCTGCTGCTGCTGCTGCTGCTGCTGGTCGTCGTGGTGGTGCCGCTGCAGCTGGTCGCGGTGGCGACGCTGCCGCTGGTGATGGTTGTCGTGGCGGTGGTGTTGCTGCTGATTGATGTTGCTGCTTGTCGTCGTCGTGGTGGTGCTGCTGGTCGTCGTCGTTGTGCCTCTGCTCGCGGTGCCACTATCAGGAGTCGTACCGCCTCTCGTGGTCGAAAATGTTGTCGCGTTGCTCCTGTGGGCTTGCTGCACAAGCCGGGGCGCCACCGGGGACCGCAGCGAAGCCGCGCGAACCCCGATGGGGAACTGGCCCCAGGGGAGTCCTACCGTGGGAATGGGGCTCTCCCCCTGGGGGGCACGGGCTGCAGCTGACGCCAGCGCCCTCCCTCGGAAGGGGCTGGAGGGCTGGCGGCCAGACAGCTGGAATGGCCGTCTGGGGTGGCGGAGGGCCCTGCTGGCTACTGTCGTCCTGGCCGCTGCCGCGGTGCCTGCTGCTGCCGCTGCTGCTGCTGCTGCTGCTGTTGCTGCTGTTGCTGCTGCTGCTGCTGCTGCTGCTGCTGCTGCTGCTGCTGCTGCTAGGGGGCTGCCGTCCGCAGTCGTTGGCTGCGTGCTGTGGTGCTGTGGTGGTGCTGATCGTCACTGTGGTGCTGGTCGTTGGGTGCGTGCTGTGGCGCTGGTCGTTTGGTGCGTGCTGTGGTGCTGGTCGTTGGTGTTGGTCGCTGTGGTGCTGGTCGTTGTGGTGCTGTGTGCTGCTGCTGCTGCTGCTGCTGCTGCTGCTGCTGCTGCTGCTGCTGCTGTGGTGTTGGTCGCTGTGGCGCTGGCCGCTGTGGGTGCGTGCTGAGGTGCTGGTTGTTGGGTGCGTGCTGTGGTGTTGGTCGTTGCTGTGGTGCTGGTCATTATCGCCGCCGTGGTGCTGGTCTTGGTACTGTGTGCTGCTGGCGTGGTGTTGCTGGTCTCGTGGTCTTTCCCCCAGTGGTCGCTGTGGTGTTGCTGGCTGTGCTTGCTGCTCTTGGGGCTGCTGGTCGCCGCCGCTGTGTTGCTCGTGGTGCTGCTGCTGGCCGCGGTCGTCCGCTGCAGCTTCTCGCCGTTCCTGGCGCTGCTGCCGCCGCCGTTCCCGGCGTAGTTGCTGCGGCGGTCGCCCTCGCGGTGCTCGCCGTTGTCGGCCGTGCTGCTGAGGCTGTGGCTCCGGTCGCTGTGGCAGGTGTTGGCCCTCTTCGGCGGCTGTCCTTCTTCCTCTTCGTCCAGTGGCTGGGCCGCCTGGCTGCCTCGCGATGGCAGGCATGCTCCTCAGGAGCCCTGCTCGCGCCATTTCTGCGTCCGCCTCTGCCTTGGTGTGTGGTCGTGGTAAGGGTTGGCCGTAGCGAGACCGCCAGCCCGCGGGCGTGAGCCGCTGCATGCCTGGCCCTGCGTTGCTGCGGCGTCTCTCCTCGGCCTGCTGCGCCTCCGCGCGTTTGGCCTGCTGCTGCGGCTACGGTGGCTGTCGCTGCAGGGCCATGGCCAGTATGTTGGAAATAGATCTCGACCCTTCCTCTGGTGGGCAGCGGCCACGCAGCCGTGCTCCCTCTTCCGACTGCGGCCCCTAGAACATAATCTCAGGACCGAGGGCGAGCAACCAGGGGAGTTGCTGTGGGAGCGTTGGTTAAGAAATATGCCTTGGAGACTTCCGACCCTGGTGGATCCCTTCTCTGATGAGGGCGGTGGTGCTATCCATGGCCGCTCCATGGTTGAAGTTCCACCGGCTTGTAGATCTTCGATTCTTTATCCAATGGTTCCTTATCCAATGCTCTCGCCATATCCGTGATCCTCCTCCTGCTCCTCCCCTTCCTCCTCCTTCTTCTCCTTCTCCTCCTCCTGCTGCTCCTCCTCCTCTTCCTCCAGACGCCGCGGTGCCCGAGCCTCCGCCCCGTCTGAAATAATTCGCCCAGGACTGGGCGTCCTGGCAAGAGCGGCCAGCCGTGCACCGCGGGACCAGCGACCCCGCCCGTGCGCGCCCCTCCCCGCGCGCGCGCCTTCATGCTGTCAGATATTTTTTCGATTGGGTGGATCTGCTCACTGTTTCTATCTTGGGCAGTGGATTCCCAGATGTTTCGGAGGCTCCGAGTTATCCAGTATAACCCCCAAGCCGTCTGCGTTGCCCGCTCCCTGGACGAGATTGTCGAAGAAGTCGGATCGGGTGATATCATCGGGCTCGCGGGGACTAAGCAACAAAAGCGCTGGGCCAGCTTTCAGGGAGAGCAAGATGTTGTTCAAAAACCTGTCGGAGCTTTCCGAGTTTGGCAATGGCCTACAGTGGACCACAAAAGGGCACAGAACACGGGGACCAACAGCCATGCTGGGTGTATGCTTCTGGTTCGGAAGGATCGTTTTCCGCTTCATCGGAGGAGGCAGGTCTGGGCCCCGCCTAGAGCTATCCAGGGACGAGGGGGTGGTGTGTGTTATCGCACCAGCACTTTGGACATTTGCTTCACAGTGTACTATGCTCCACGGAGCCCAAGTCAGCCCTCGAGCGCCACTGGAGCCAGGTGGGAGATGAATGGATCGGCAAGCTATATTTTCATGGATGGAAACTTCCACGCGGGATTCCTGAATGATTGCAATGGATGGGTTCTGCCTCCGCTCTGCGATGCTGTCGGCAGATGTTGTCCTGAGAAAGAGACCTTCAAGGTAGTTGGATGCGACGGCTTCTCAATCAGCACAAGTTGGCACTGGTGAGCACGCACGATATTTGCATGGGTGCGTATTTCTCACAGCAGCGTACATGCACGCGCATCGACTACTATGTCATTCCTGCCTCGGCTCTGCATCGGGTTCAGAAATGTGAATGTCGCCAGTGCTCAGGATTCAGATTACAACTCGCACAAGGGGCCACGCACAATATCGATCACATCCCGCTCGTAGTAGACATGGTGCTCAACAATCCTGCCGGGTGTCCTATGGCTTCTATCCCGCGGGTCAGGTGGAATACGGACTTGCTGATCTGCGCCTGGATGAGAGATATTCCTGAAAACCATCGCTTTGCACAGCTACTGCATATGCAGTCTCCTGTACAGACGGGTCGAGTGGAGGACGCCTGGCACCAGTTTAACCAGGCCTTGATCGATGCGGGCCAGTAGGTTTTCGGGAGCACGGACCCATGGCGGAAATGGCCTGGCCAGGGGGATTCCAGAGCTGCACGAGCACGAGTCAACACACTCCGGGCGCAGCGTCGATTAGCCAAGGCACAGGAGCAGCACAAGTACAGCTCGATGAACAGCTAGCCGAAGCACGTCGTAAACTTCATAGTCTCAAGTGTCGAGATCGTCGTACACATCAGGCCCAATGGGCCCAAGAGCTTACAGCAGCACAACAGACAAAGGATTGGCACATGGTTTGAAAACTGGCACGTCGAATCGCGGGGACGGGGGTCGGCTCAACAAAAACGAAGATTGCAGGCGCTCACCAAGGACCCCCCAGCATCGAGGATTGGATCGAATACATGGGAGGTGAAGGGCGTAAAGGGGGGATGCAAACACGAGTCGTAGCACAATAGGGGTGAACATGATAGGGACCAGGTAGCTGGTTCGGATCGCCTCCGTCAGCACGTGCCCCAACGCCAAGCCGGGCAATTTTCACGTTTTTTTTTTTCGGATGCCACAAGCGGAACAGACACGGATACATTCTGGCAGCATTTGCAGAGCTTGATCTCCGAGATCTTCGTGTCAGACTTGCTCGAGCCAAGCGTCGGCGGGCAGTTCCAAGTTGGGCGGCGCCATCGGAAGTCTGGGGGCTGGCGCAGTTATGTCCGAAGTGGGCTGAAGATCAAGATATGGGCATTGTCGGAGCTGTGGACACTTGCCGCCTTGCATCGTATTTTTTGATTGGCGTACGAGTCTTCCAGCACACTCCTCAGCTCTGGCATCTGAGTAGTGGTGTGAGAAAGGGTAAAAACAACGGCAAAGCTAAATCTACAGGTGAACGAGTGAAACACCTGTTAGGTTCGTTCGGCAAGGCCTACATCGCGGGCTTGTGGTTCCGACGAGATGCGGCACGACCACTGCAGTCTGTAGGGTTTGCTGAGCACCGACGGCGTGTACAAGCTCTTTTGCAGGTTCGCATTCGTCAGGACTGGTTTCGGCGAGCACAATTATCATGGTTCAATGTCTTCTATGATCAAGCGAACGACTTCGTCATATAGCCAAGACGGGTTAGACGGGACAGTCACGCAACTATTTCCTGTGGAAGACGCACATGTGGTTTGTCAGCGGTATCCCGGCGCTCGCTGTTATCTAAAACTTGAGCATGGTGATTGGGAATTCTAGAGGCTCAGTGTGGCGACCTCCAAGGAGATCAAACGGCGCCAGATGCATTCACATATGTTTATGGCAAGCGGATCGTGGACTGGACCCCACAACGGCGACGCGATTGTGATCGGCAGATGTTTCTTGTACGGGAACCACATGCAGGCATCGAAATGGACGTTTCGTGGGCGAGGTGCGCTGGCGATATGGAACGGATGGCAGTCATTTCAGAAGCGAAAGGATCAGCCGCTTTTGCTTCATCTTGGTTTCTCAGTAGGATACAGACCTCACTGAGACGCTCTCAGTACCTACGGGGTTGTGGCAACATGCATGAAACAAAGATATCATGTTTCGCGCGTGTGGCAGAGGAGCGAGGGAGGAGATGGAAAAGTTCTTCGGGAGGCAGGGCGGATGGTATGAGGGCGCACCCGCACGCACAGTCAGACACGTATGAGGTTATCCTCACATAGACGGATGGCTAGGTCCTGAATTCGATCGACGCCCGACAAGCTGCAGCACGACTTGGATGGTCTGCCTTTGGGGATTTCTTGGCCCAGGGGTGTGTGGAACTTAGAGTCCGACGTATAATGTTCATGGGCGTGGTTTGCAAAGCGTTTCTTCTAGGACAGGAGGCTCAGATTTGGTCCCGGGCAGTCGATGACCAGGCTGATCAATGTATCATGCAGCATTACCGGGTCCTTCTCCGGGGTGACGCGTGCCGTGAACAATGCAATGACGCGGGGGAGATCATTAAACACGCGGCCCAAGCAAGCAACGGCATCCGTCTGCAAGCTCGACTTCCCCTGATGACCAGTGCTCTGAGATGTCGTCGTCTTAGGGGTTGGCAGACATGGGTAAGCATCCTGAGGAGAACGTAGCTGTCCTTGCTGCACTGACAGGCAAGCGAGGAGGTAAAGCTCGGTTGAGTCGACGAGGACGGCCTACACATTCAGCGAATCCCTATTTGAAGCAGTTCAGTGATGATCTCAATGAGCTGGCCAGAATACTCCGAGGGCGCCAAAAAACTGCTGCGCGAGGAAGGGGTGGTTTGCTCTTTTCGATCCTGAGGCGGTGCAAGCTCGTGTTTTTTGACCCCCCCCAGTCCATGCATAAGTATAGTTGGGCAGCTGACGGAGGCGCATGAGGAGAAGTATGTGCCCTACCCATCTCTGTTCCTGGTTTTATCCTTGTAATCATGTAGGCTCCACGGGCACCCCCTGTACGGAAACCTTTTAGACCTCCGGGGCCCTGGGGGGGCGTCAGCGAGAGTGCATGGACGTGCTGATCGATTGCGACTAGTTATGTTTATTAATCAATGTATCTGGTGTGATCGTGTATCTGCTGAACGTGACTGGGGGTATGGTCCTATTGGGCAGAGACTAGCCACGGGAACATGCCCGAGAAGTCGTGGGTGTGATGCCGCGGGGGATCGGCTTCTTGAGGGGCCCTCCAGTCTAGTATGTTCCTTGTGGTTTTCTTGCGTCGGACGTTCCCCGACTTAAGCGCATGTACGTAGTGATTTTGATCCGAGCAGTACTTTTTGGTTACCGAGAGTCTTTCGCGCGGACGTACCTCCAGAATCGGATCCAGATGGAAGGTGCGATGGCAGTGGCAGGAGCTCCTCGAACGCAGAGGCGGGCAGTTGCGACGCCGGGCGTCGTGATGGACGCTCAGGCCGAGAGGCTGGTGAAGTCGACGGCCACAGCAGCGGTGGGCATAGACGACATCGTGAGGCGCCACCAGGGTGCGTTGGCGACGTGTCTCTTGATGCCCGAGGAGAACGCAGTTCTGCAATCGCTCTTGGAGAAGGGCCATGGCATCCACGAAAAGAAGGAGGCGCTGAAAGCTTCCAAGCAGCACGCCCAGCTGAAGCAGGAGGTTTGGAGCTGGATTCAGTTGTGGTGCCAGCTGTGCATGGCGATCGCGAAGGACCAGAGCATTCCCGAGCCGCAGAAGCCACTGGTTCTCAAACATGTCTCAGAGGTGAAGGATATGAAAGTGTTGTACCATCACGTGCACGTGTGCTTCACGAAGAAGTGCTACCGCCAGAAGGAGTGGAAGAATGACTGGTACCGTCTCGAGCTGATGGTCTCGCCGCAGCTTCAGCCGACGCTGGAGGAGCTGATCGGGATCATGTCGAAGATGCCCGAGGTGGAGAGGAAGGTGGGCGGCCCCGCGCGGGGCCCGCACGCTCGTGCCGTCGTCGATTGCCGTGCCGGGGTGGGGAAGTTTCAGAGGCACGAGTGGGTCCGAGTGAGAGCCCGAGTGAGAGCAGCAGTAGGAGCCCAGGAGTCGAGTTTTTGTTTTCCCTCCTCCTCCTTCTCCTTTTCCTCCTCCTCCTCCTCCTCCTCCTCTTTCCCTGGGGATCCCTCGTCCTGGACCGACTCACAAAACCTCCAATGGCTTCTGAGTGTTTTCGAGTGCCCCGATGAGTCTAGCACTATAGGCAGTGTGTCTCACGAGTCAGGTCTTCCATCGTGAGATGGTTCAGCTTTGTAGTTTTGATTTTTGGTCTTCAGAGGGGCTTGGGCCCTTCCTGAGAGGAAATCTTCGGGGTGCGTTCGGCTCGCGCCTCTTCGGGGTCTTTGTGATGCGCTAACAGGAGGCTCAGTCCTATGCGCCAGTGCTCTGATGAGTGTGCGCTGGATCGGCGGTCGGTTGATCGCCTCCCTGGCCCACAAGCGGCATATGGCCGCAAACGGCGCGAACCAGGGGTTGAGATGCGTGCTGAGCTACTTCACGACGCTGATGACCCACAGGCTCCCCAGGCTGCTCCCACCACCACCTCTTCCTCCTCCTGCTCCTTCTGTTTTTGCCTCCGTGGACCTCGCCGCGGGCGAAAGCCGGTTTAGGTAGAAGATGCGATTCCACCTCTCGCCCTTCGTCCTCCTCATCCTCCAGTTCCTCCTCCTCCTCCTCCTCCTACTCCTCCTCCTCCACCTCCTCCTACTCCTCCTCCTCCTCCTCCTCCTCCTCCTCCTCCTCCTCCTCCTACTGCTCCTGCTCCTCGATGCCCTTCTTCCTCCGCACGTGCGCGGCCGCCACGCGCAAGCCTCGCGCCGGGCCGCCCGCCCAGGCGCCCCACGGGCGCCGCATCGCCGATGGAGCGCAGTCCCACGGGCCCACCGCCACGCAGGCGAAGGGCGGGGGGGCTCGGAGGCGGAGGGGGGAGGGAGCAGGGAGTTGGCTGACGCTTCGCCCTCGCGCCCGCGGCCTGCCCAGGGGAAAGAAAGGAAGAATGGGCGCTCGGGCTTCGGGGAGGCGGAGGAGGAGTGAGGGGGGAGGAGGCTGACGCTTCGCGCTCGCGCTCGCGGCCTGTCCAGGAGAAAGAAGAGAGGTTGGGCGCGTTCGAGCTTCGCTGTGCCTTGCTGTCTGCGTGTGCCTCCTGGGGGGGCCTCCGGTCACCCTGGCTGGGGCTCCCCGTGGTAGCTTCTGGCCAGGACGCGCCCTGGGACATGTGTGACCTGGGCCCGATGTCTGCGAGGGAGGTCGGAGTGAGGGAAGGGGGCAGGAAGGAGCAGAAGGAGGAGGAGGAGGAGGAGGAGGAGGAGGAAGAGGAAGAGGAGGAGGAGGAGGAGGAGGAGGAGGAGGAGGAGGAGGAGGAGGAGGAGGAGGAGGAGGAGGAGGAGGAAACGGAGGAGGAAGGAAAAGGAGGCGGAGGAGGAAGGAGGAGGAGGGTCATGTTTTTTTGTGGGATGGTTCCTCGTCCTTGTGCCAGAGAGTAGCCGCGCCGCGTCCATCGCCGGGTGGTTTGCGCAGTGGACATAACAGGGCTTTTCCCATGTTGTGACCTCACTGTTTGGAGGACGCCGACTGCACACCAGTACCGATCCTGTCCTAGCCAGCAACGGTCCGTGTATGTTTGGCGTCATCATATCTGCCGAAATGCGCTCTGGAAAGGGTACCCTCCTCTCTTCTGGCGTGTCGCGTGTCCAGCCTGGGGTTTGTTTCCCAGACGGTCTTTTCCTCCTCCCACTCTTCCTGATTAGCTCCTGGTTCTCAGCGAGGGCTCTGGAGCGTACAGCCTGCGCAATGCCTCCAGCACGTGGCGCAAGAAAAATCGAGGGGGCAAGTCATGGCTTTCCCCGGTAGGGTGCCACCAGATGCCATTCAGAGAACCATGGGTTATGGTCATCGATGTTTGCCGAGGTTTCCTCAAGCTTCGGGGGCGGTCGGGGGGGCTCGGGCCAGCAGGAGATGGGTCCATGGCGATTCGACCCACACGTGGCCCTTGCCGGTCATAGCTGCAGCGGGACCATGACCCTTTCGGCACGAGCCGCCCAGCCTCCAGACTTGCCCGTGAGCGGGCCGTCCCCGGGAGTTCCTCCGCAGAAGCCGCTGGAGCGATGCAGCGGCTCGGTGCAACGCCCGAGACGTCGCCGCGGAGCCTCGGCGACCACAGCGCTGGCGATCGCAGCCTCGGCGAGGTGTGCGGGGGCCGCTTCTCGCTGGTCTCCGAGATGCCGAGGCCTCTTCTCCTTCCAGTCTTCCCTCTCCTCCTCCGCCCCCAGCCCTACCTCCACCTCTCTACCTTCTCCAGCTTCTCGACGTTCTCTACCTTTCCCACCTTTGCCACCTTCTCTCCACCTTCTGCACCTCCACCTCCACCTTCTCCACCGTCTCTACCTTCTCCGTCACCTCCGCTTCCACCCCCACCCATGTTTCCACCTTGTCAACCTTCTCCGTCTTCTCCTCCACCTTCATCTGCTCCTCTTCCCTACGCCTGAAGCTGCAGCTGGATCTGCACCTGCACCCGCACCCACACCCGCGCACCCACACCCGCACCCACAACTCGTCCTCGTGCCCCTCCTTGTTCTGCTTCTCCTCCGCCTCCCAGTCCTCCTCCTCATCCAGCTGCCGTCTTTCTAATTTCCCCTTTTCTCCCCGCTACATTTTCCCCTCCCTCTCTAATTTCGCAAGCCTGATCATTGTAAGTCTTCCCCATGCTTTCTTGTCCTCCTCTTTCTTTCTTCGTCTTTCTTTCCTCTTTCTCCCTCGTCCTTCTCCTCATCCTGTACCTCTCCTCCTCCTCCTCGCACTCCTTCTCCTGCTCCTTCTCCTCCTCCTCTCCCTCCTCTCCCTCCTTCTCCTCTTCCTCTTCATCATCAGCACCCCCCATCATCATCTCCACTACCATCATTATCATCATCAGCATCACCATCATCATCATGATCATCACCATCACCGTCACCATCACCATCACTATTACCATCATCATCACTATCACCATCACCATCACCATCACTATCAGAACCATCACCATCATTATCGTCGTTGTTAACATAAAAAGGGTCACCATCACAATCAGCATCACCATCACCACCACATCCTCGTCCTCATTCTCACCATCATCACCATCAGCATCAGTACCGTCATCATGATCATCACCATCAGTAGCATCGTCATCACCACCATCAGCATTGCCATTACTACCATCAACATCACTACCAGCATTACCATCACCATCACCATCATCATCATCACCATCACCAATATAATCAACATCATCAACATCAGCACCACCATCATCATCATCACCATCATAATCATCATCATCACCACGATTACCACTGCCATCATCATCACCACCACCATGTTCACCAACAACGCTATCACCATCACCATCACCATCACCATCACCCTCACCCTCACCCTCACCCTCACCATCACCCTCACCATCACCCTCACCATCACCATCAAAATCACAATCACTATCACCATCACCATCACCATCACCATCACAATCACCATCACCATCACCATCACCATCACCATCACCATCACCATTACCATCACCATCACCATCACCGTCACCGTCACCATCACTATCACCATCACTAGCACCATCACCATCACCACCACCACCACCACCACCACCACCATCACCATCACCATCACCATTACCACCATCAGCACCACCATCATCATCATCCTCATCATAATCATCATCACCATCACCATCACCATTAGCATCTCCATGGCTATCACCACCATCATCAGCATCATCAGCATCATCACCATCACCACCACAACCACCATCACCACCACCAGCATCGTCGTCATCATCATCACCATCACCATCACCATCACCATCACCATCACCATCACCATCACCATCACCATCACCATCACCATCACCATCACCATCACCATCACCATCACCATCACCATCACCATCACCATCACCACCACTAATACAACAACAGTCACCACGATCCTCCTCCTCCTCCTCATTCTTCTGCTGCTTGCCGCCTTCGGCATTGGCGGGCCCGTCGGCCATGCGGGGGTGTCCCGCAGCCGGGCCGTCCTCCCCTGCAGTCCCGGGCGGGCCTCCCGTCTGGCCCAGGGGGTATGGCTCGGGCGGAGGTGGGTGGCGCCACGACGCACATGCCGCTTCAGCTGCCGCTTGCCCGAGCGCTTGCACGCTGTGCAGTGGTGGACGTGGCCCAGTGCAGCGCCCAGGGCAGAAGGAGCTTTTTCATAGCACAGCGGAGCTGGAGCTCATCGACTGGTCGGCTCAGTAGCTGCCAAAGTGGACGAGTGTGTGGCATCCTCTGGCAAGACACGCTGTGAACGTCTGGGCCCTTCGCCTTCAGGAGGCCGAAGTCCCGTGACGCATGGTAGCGTGCAGGATCGCGTTTTTCTGTGCGGGTGCCTTGTCTCTCTTTGCGTTACCCCTGCCCTCCTGATGGATCGCCCCCGCCCTGCCTGCTCCAGGCCTCCTTTCGTGGCTGCTGGCTCCTGTTTTTGTGCAGGCTCGTCGTGCGCCGTGCAGATTTGTTGTTGTCTCGCAGTGCGCGCATCCCGGCCTTCTTGATGGGTCGCCTCCGTTCCCCCAGCTGCTGGGCGTCGGCCATGTGCGTCGCCTGTTTAGGCTTAAGTCGGGCCTGTCCCTCTACAGGGGGAATGTTCAGAAGTAGTAAAACAACAGCTTGAGAACGATTTTTGACTATTTAGGTTTATGTTGACATATTTTGTGGGTATTTTCATTTTTCGTCCAACCTGCAGGGGGACACGCCCGACCTGAGCTTAGGCGATCTTTTCACTGTTCTTGCTGCCGCACTTGTCCTCAGCGCGCGTCTTCTGTGCGGTCGCGGCGCAGCGCTGGGCTTCCGGCCTTCTCTTTGCGGGCCGCCCCCGCCCGGCCCGCTCCCCTGCATTCTTGATCCTCGACCTTCCCCCTGGTCTCGCCGTGCTGTCCGTGGCCACTCAGTCCCCAGGGTTTGAGCTCGTGTCTTCCAGTGCTGCCGCACGTGCGCGGGGCCACTGCGCTCCACCCGGGCCCCCTGCTCGCTCCTGCTTCCCCCCCCCCCCCCAGGCGTTGGTTGGCGCCAAGCCGTCGGTCGCTTTCAGCGGCAGCACTCGTTTCAGTGACCCTCCTTGGCTCTCACTGGAAAGGGGCAGGCGGGCCTGATGAGACAGATTCGCCGCGCTGCCTTCCTCAGTGTCTCTGCGACCCTTGCGGTGGAGCGCGGCTTCGTGCCTATGCCACGGCTCGACGACGAGCTCTCCCCGCTCCTCGCCGCCCGCGGCGTGGGCCCACCCAGCGGCTCCACGGGGGCGTCCCGCAGCCAGCCCGCCCGCCCCCGCGGCTCGCGGCGGGCCTCGCGTTGAAGCTGGCTCGGGGGGTTTGCTTCGGGCAAGGAGGTGGGGGGCGCCACGACGCGCGTGTCACTTTCGCCACCGTGTGCCCGAGCGCCGGCCCAGCCTGGGCTGGGTTTTCGGGCGGTCCCCAGCAGAAGTGGCCCAGGCGGGAGGAGGCGGCCCACTGGTCCCTCCTTCGCCCTCTGTCGCCTCCTTCGTCCTGCTCCTGCTGCTGGTCCTCCTCCTCATCCTCCTCCTCCTTCTCCTCCTCCTCCTCCCCGTTCCCCTGGCGCTTACAGATTACTCCACCCTGTCTGACCAGCAGACAGGTTGGTAGGGTGGGCCAGACGTTTCGTGCGTTTCGCCTGCGGCGCCATCCTCGTTTATGATCCCGGAGCTTGAGGATTCCAACTGCTGCGCGGTTGCAGGGGGGCCGTTTCCAAAGCGTGCTGCGCTCGCCCCAGTGCCGCGCACATTCGTTTCGACGTGTGGCAGTGGCCGCGGCGCCGCGCACAGCACCAGTGTACACCTCCAACAGTTACACAGAGGGGGGTCGCCTTCAAGAGGTGCCTCTCGCCTCAGAGCCCGCACGCATTCGTCGTGCACCCTCGAAGCAATTACACAGGAGGGCGGTTCTGTTTTATTTCTTGGCTCTCGCTTGGGGTCTTCGTCATGAATGATGGCCACACGTTTTGCGCAAATTGAGCGGGGCAGTTTTTCAAAGCGGGAGTCTCGCTGGGCATTTCTTGGGCAATTCTGATTCTACCTTGTCGCTAGTCGCCGTTTTTCTGCTTGTGAGTATAGATTCAGCTTCTTTTTAAAACAGGCCTTACGTCTGAGTTCCAGGAACATGGGCGCTGTTCTTGAATTTGGGCGCTTCCCAACGTGACGATGGGGTATGGTAGGGGCTTATGAGGAAGGGACTTGGGACGGGTGGGCGTATTGCCGCATCGTTAGAGTGTCTTGGGTTTTTCTCCTCCTCTCCTCCTCTCCGTTGTCCTCCCCTTTCCTTCTCCTTCACCTCCTCCTTTTCCTCCAGGAAGCGACACCACAGCACGACTTTGTACCAGGGCATCAGCACGTCCACGGAGGAACTGGCGGCCTCGGGCGCTGAGTTCGCACGCCGTGTCGACGTGGGGGAGAGGGGAGGGAGGAGGAGGCGGAGAAGGATGATGAGGAGGGGGAAGACGTGGATCACGAGGATGATGAGCAGGATACTACACATAATGAGTGTCACTGGGTAGAAAGGTGAGTGTCAGATTGTATCGTTGCCGCTCCTGTCTGGCGCAAGCTTTCGTTATGATAATTTGTTGCGCTCGCCCAGATAGACCTGGTACTAGAAGTTTCTTAAAGGAACGAAGGACCAAGTTACAAACCACAGACGGTGCATTGCAAGACGACGATACGGACGATCTCGACCGGATTCTCAATGGTCGGCTAATTTCGACCGGATATCACAAATTTTCAGCCGTTAAGCAAATGGTGATTGATTGAACTATTGACCGCGAGTTCGCCAGACAAGTGGTGTTCGACTGTCACCGGTGTTACCCTATCAACTAAGATTAGCCCCGCCATGAATTGTCATACACCTAAAATGGTTCACGAGTTAGCATTCCAGGAAGTACGGCGGAGCGCCTGGTCGAAACGATAGTAGGCTACGGATCGGCATACCCGCTCAACCCTCCATTCAAGAGGGGCCGATGGCCCCCCGCATTGCCCTGATACCAAGAGCGCTCGAGATGTTAGCGGCGAGGAGGTCAGCGCGGCGCCCGCCGTCTCGTTGTCTCAGCCGCTAGCTGGAGCATAATTTGTGGAAGCGCCTAGTGAGCCACCAGGCCCATGGACCAATCAAAGCAGTATGGGGAACGGAAAAAGGCAATACCGTCAAAGTGTAACCGCGAGGTGAGCTGGGGGGCGCACAAGGGTTCAAGCCGAAATTCACGCCTAATTTCGTGGAGCGCCAGAGTTGATCATTGTATCAAGTGCTGGTGATGGTGATTCAAAAAGTGTGCCGACATGGGCTTGGTCGGAAGCGCAGTCAGAAGCCATCCGGTGAACGCAGTATTGCAAGATGACGCTAAAGCAGGGATCGGTGCAGTAATGGTTGCGGTGGGCTCGGGGGCCTACAACGCTGCGGAGCTGCCGAGCGCGGGGAGATACTAACTTGTTAACTAACCCAAGCGTCAAAGGCAGGTAAGCACTATTGCGCAGCCAAGTGGTCAGTCATCAAGAGCCACGGCTAGCCAGAGGGTGACACGGGGCGCAAATTCGCTCGCCCGTGTAGGTCGCCGATGTAAACATATGTTCGGATCGGCGAGAAAAAGCGGTTGAGTCTGGCAGGCGCGTGGATTTTGACCATGATGGAAATTCGAGGTCATGCGGTTGCGGGCAGTGCAGGGCCTGAGGTCATCGGATTGATTTCCACGAGAGTCGTAGCGCGTTTCAGTTTGAGCTGCGAGTCCCATGGCGTGCTGCCTTGCAGCTGGTCAGCGAATCTTTGCGGGGGGTCAATCGTTCCAAGGGTTTTCGTAGCTGGGGACCCTGGGGGATGACGCGCGCTACTGGGCCCGTGCCCACCCGTGAGCCCCACCCAGGCACTTGTGATTTGTATTTGAGATATGGATGCTTTCAGAGAGAGAGAGAGAGAGAGAGAGAGAAAGTGGGGACAGTGGGTTGAGATGCGTTGTCGGCGTATTATTGTGAAGCGATCAGATATTATGGTTGACGTCCTAGTGCCGAAGGGGTGGAGTTATTCGACGCCACCCGCCGGTCACGCCGTAGTCAGTTCACCCGCTGCGTCAGTGGAAATGTAATGAGGAAGAACCACAGGAAGATAACGAGGAACATACTGGATGGGGTGTCAGTTATCTTCGTGGACTACAAGTGATGGAGGGGGAAAGGGAACAGAGAGGAAGCGAAGGTGGGACATCTAATCTTAGTCATGCGATGCCAGCAAGCCGAGCTGACTCAGGGTGGCGTTCGGGGCAGGGCCCGGTCCTTGCCCGGTGAAAGTATTATCCGATGTGATTCCGTTCGTGCTGCGCAGGGGAGTGATGTTCAAATGCGGCGGTGGCTCGGCCGTTGCGGCTTCGCAAAATGCCGTGCGAGCTTTGCGCGATCTTAACGTTGGTGTCGAAATTCGCCCAGCGGGAGATTCCCGGGCTAGCTGTGAAGTTGAACGGGCGGCCAGGGCCATCCAGGAGGCAGTCAGGGCGATGAAGAGCGCGATTGGCAAGCGCTGCGAAGCGGAGTCCGGGCCTCGCCGCCGTCTGATGCCATGATTCGGGAACTGGAGCGCATGCGTTGCCAGTGGCGGGCTGTTTCGCAGGGCCGGGGGCGACGTCGGTGTGGCGCGGTGTATGCGTTTTCCATGATTTTCCTTCGGAAGCAACGAATAATGTGGATTCCAGGGCGACGCGTGCACCAGGGCCTGCTTTCTCGTGCAAACTTCACCACGTAGCCGGAAAAAGCGTCGGTGTATAGAGTTCGGTTCCCTGGATTCGCGTCCAGTGCTTCCTGTGTTGATCCATCAGTTCGCCTCGGGGGTGTGCGGGGGGTGGCGCGCGAAGGCTGCCGGGCGAGAGGTCCAACAGGCAGTGGCCCAATGCTTCCGAATGCGCGGTGTGTTTTGGGTCGCAATTCAACGAGGTCAAGCGATGGTGGGAGCGAAATCGGAGAATAATCAAGCTTGGGTTAAACGAGACAAGCCAGGGATTGATCGCCGGTCCCCCAGGAGGAGCAGTCAGCGCGAGTTCAGGAGGAAAGGCAGTGAGGGGGAGTGGTGGAATGAAGCGAAGTTACTTAAATGACAGATGTGCCGTGGCTGCCTGTCCCTGGCGCTGCCGAGGCGGATTTGAGCGCCAGGGTGATCGTGCCCGTGCTTAGGGGCCCCGCGAGAGAAGGAGACGCGCGCGAGGCGGGTCATCGCTCGCAGAATGGCGACGTGAAGCTCTGAGGATCTGGCGATGGGGCCTGCTCCCACATGTTATGGGTGCAACGCAATAGTTAGGGGTGGCGCCGCCCATGGGCCGCGCGGCCTTGAGCGCAGGGTTAGAGTCCTGAAATGATTTGGGAGACAAGAGGACCGCGACATCTGGAGAGTTTGGCGCCGGCTCGCACGACGCAAGATGCCTCGACGTATATTCAGGTGGATGAGCCGGAGAGAAAGGAAAGCAGAGACGTGGGCGAGTTGCGCGGCATTTCGGCCTTCGACGACAACGCTGCCCCTGGACAGCGTCGAACGGCAAGGGCAGCGCCTGGCGCGCCAGTCAAATGCCCCGGGAAGCCAGGTTACGGGCAGAGTACGGACGCCGCGTGCCATCGCCAAGGGAACTGGTCAATTATGGGAGCTAGAAGACGGGTGGGGGGGTGGGCAACAGTTCAGCGGGGATTTGGAGCGGTCTAGGGTGAGTTCGAAATCGTGGAACCAAATCTACGGGGATCAATTCATTCCGGGCCACCCCTCTGCGCCGGCGTTATCGGCGGCTGTTGAACGGAAGCCGCGAAGCGTGGAGTGCGCGGTGCAGGAGGGAGATCAGCAGGCCAGAACGTTTGACAAGTTAGTCGATGAAGAAGAGAGTTAAGAGGACGATGAGTTGGTTGCAGTGATGCAGTGGTGGGGGATATTCGAAATTTGCTGTGGCGTGGTGGCTTGGCTTGAGTGGCGAGATCGGGGTAATCAATGGAGCCAATAAAGTCCGGGGAGCAGTTCGGTCGCATGGGAAAGGCCAACAAACCGTCCAAGCCCATGTTGGCGAGGCCTAACCACTTGTCAGAGTGACCGGGGCGGCTAAGGGCATGAGACGTATGCTTGGGTTGGCCATGGGCGTAAACGCGCTTTGTCAGCGCGGCAGCCCGTGAGACTGTAATGATGAAGTTTTCAGCAGGAATGCGCATCATTTTGTGGTAGCCGAAACACTTCTATTGCTTGTAGTTTGCCCTGTGTTCGGTGCGTTCAGCAAAGTGTTTTTTTTTTCACGTGGAACGTCGGCGAAGAACATCCTTGGGCATGGGGTCGAACGTTTGAACATCGGCATAGAGCTATTTAACCTCCGAAGACGCAGCGGTTTGAGCCTTCAGGTGGGCTGCGAGCTCAGCCCAGAGGAGGCTCGGGTCATCTGATGTTAAGTCATCAGGAGGTGATGCGCGCTGCTATGACATGAGACGAATGACCAGAGTTAGGGAGTTATCCATCAAGATCCACCGAGGACGCCACCAACATTGAACGCATTCGACACGCTTTTAGCGGAGGATGCCAACGGCAACGTTGGCACGTGGAGTTAACGGAAGGAGGCTGGACGAAGAGGGCATATCTATCTCTCTATACATATGCACACGCATGGCGGCAAGTTGTGCAGGACCATTTTTGCAGGGCGGATTTGGCGATTCGGAGCTGCCAAACGGGGATTATGTTCGTCTTGGTCAGGCGAGGTGGCAATGAATCATCTTAGGCCCAGTGCCGACGACGAAGACATGATAGCGGGCGAAGTCGGCCTGGCAGAAGCGAAAGAGCCAGCGTGTTAGACCACGGCCCGAGGGGCTATGGCACTAGCGGAGTGAGGTTGCCAGGCGAGCGCGGGCCCGAGTGGGCGCAATGTGTGCGCTGGGGTGCGGAGAGGCTTCGCGTAACGCCACCAACCCATCCAGAAACGATGCCCAGACGGGTAGCCCTGCTCATGGTTGTTGACATCATACCGTGGAATAGAGGAATGGGTAAGATGTCGTACCCCAGGAGGGGAGGATGGAGGAGGAAGTGTATAACAAAAACAACATCATGATGAGGAATATGACTAGTAGGATGAGGAATATCAGGATGAGGATGAGGGTGAGGAGGAGGAAAAGGATGATGATGATGATGATGATGATGATGATGATGATGATGATGATGATGATGATGATGATGATGATGATGATGATGATGATGATGATGATGATGATGATGATGATGATGATGATGATGATGATGAGAAGGAGGAGGGGAGGAGGAGGAGGAGGAGGAGGACGAGGAGGAGGACGAGGCGAAGGGGAGGAGGAACCACACCGGGGAGATGGGGAATGGGAGGAGGGAGGAGGAAAGAGGGGAACATGCGAATGAAAAAGAGTACGAGAAGGAGGAGGGGGAGGAGGAGGAGGAGGAGGAGGAGGAGGAGGAGGAGGAGGAGGAGGGAGGAGGAGGAGGAGGAGGGGGAGGAGGGGAGGAGGAGGAGGACGAGAGGAGGAAGAGGAGGAGGACGAGGAGGAGGAGGAGGAGGAGGCCGAAAAGGAGGAGATTGAGGAGGATGTGGAGGAGGAGATGGAGGAGGATGTGGAGGAGGAGGAGGAGGGGGAGGAGGAGGAGGAGGAGGAGGAGGAGGAGGAGGAGGAGGAGGAGGAGGAGGAGGCCTCGGCGCGCTCAGTGCGCCTGGTGCGCTTCCAAGAAATGGTCTCTGGGGGCGCGCCTGGAGCGCCTGGTGCGTTCCCCGGAAATGGTCACTGGGGGCGCGGTGGGGCCTGACTCTCTCACGTGCCGAGGGTTAGGATGGCGCGACTTCAACAGCAACTCCGTCAAACATTAATAAATGAGTAGAATAGACCAACCTAATTTTAGTGTATTGTATTCCTCGAATGAACCAGAATGGAACAGTTTGTGACACAAAGTACACTGTAGTATCATTGGTGCTATATCATATTTGTATATTTGATAACAACAGAGCATACTAGAGCAGAGTAAGGTAGAGTAGAACGGAGTAGATCAGGAGTGCTGCAGAGTAGAGGCAGAGTAGAAGTAGGAGTAGGAGTCAATCGAGGGCGCCGCGTAATCCCACGCTCCCGCCCACACGTACGAATCAATTGGGGTACAGCTTGGTACTGGGATTGGAACGAGCTCCCTCCTCGCAAACGGAAGGAGCTCGCGCGCGGTCCCGCTTCAGACGATTTGGCGAAGAGAGAAGATTCCGCGGGCCGCGCAGGGGCCGGAGCGGCAACACTTTCGGTGGGCGCGGCGAAGTCGAAGCATGCGCCGCGCTGACACAACGTTGCCACTTTCGCTCGCACAATGCGCGGCGCTCGGGCGAGCTCGGCATTTGGCCCGCTATCGCGCGGCCCCGCTGCCGCTGTCGCTCGTGTGCGACCTGGGCGCACGAACCATGCGCCGCGCCCGCGCTGGAACGCCGCGTCCGACCCGAATGCGCACGGACCTTGGGCGAGGGCAACGGGTCGCCCACCCGCGCGGGCCTTCCAACCTTGGGGAGTGGCACGTGTTCGCCGCGCCGAGGCGGCAGCGTCACCTTCGGGCGAGTCTGCGCGGCGCCGAGGCGAGAGCCACACTTTCACCCCGCCCGCGCGTCGACGGGCACACGCCTGCGAAGAGGGTGCGTCGCGTCCGAGCGGGGTTGCTCAGTGGTTAAGAAGAGTGGCGCACGACGCCGGGGCGAGAGCGGCATTTCGGTCTCTCGCGTGGGATGTGCGCCCCGTTCCGTTCTTGCCGTGCCTTTTTGCAGCATCGACGACACGATGTCCGCACCCAGACGAAACAGCATTGATTTGTGGCGTGTAGGTTTTCGTTGCAGGTCGGATAGAAGGGCCCGGAGGTGGGGGCAGTCGGCGGGCAGATGCCCAGAGTGGGGGTTTGCAGGATCAAGGTATAGGGATAGAGTAGAGTCGAGTCAATTTCAGCCGGTTCGGGTGGGGTAGGGTAGCGTAGGGTAAGGTAGGGTATGTTAGGGTAGACTAAGGCAGAGTAGAGTAGAGTAGGGTCGGTGGTAGAATAGAGCACGAATAGAGTATAGCAGAGTAGAGCGAATAGGACCAGAGAAGAGTAGTTACGAGTAGATGGTGAGCGTATGGCATAATATAGTAGAGTCGAGCAGACCGGGGCAATAACAGAGTAGATAACAGTAGGAGTAGAGTAGAGTAAGGTAGGAGTGTAGGGTCAATGGGAGTAGAGTAGAGGATGTTCGGGTAGAGCAGGGTACAGAGTAGAGCAGGCTAGAGTAGAGTAGATTGTAGAGTAGAGCAGGGATCGAGTATACTATTATGGGAGTACAGTAGAATAGGAGTATATAGGGGAGTAGAGAAGAGTAGGGTTGGTATGGGTAGTGTATAGTAGAGCAGGGTTGAGCCGATCAGAGTAGGGTAGGGAAGGACTAGCTTAGAGTAGAGAAGAGTAGAGTAGAGGACAGCTTGAAAGAGCACAGTCGAGTAGTAGTATCATAGCGTAGGGATAGAGTATAATAGGGTAGAGTAGTTTCGGTTAGGGCAGGGACGGGCATCGTGGAATAGAGGTTAGGGCAGTGTATGACGTCGTGGAATTGAGTGTAGTAGGGTAGACTAGAGCTTGGTAAAGCAGAGTACGCTAGATAGTATAGTAGAGTAGGGTAGGATCGAGTAAAGTAAAGCGGGGTCGGATGATGCATATTCGAGTAGAGCATATGTGATGGGTGCAGTAGGCCATGGTCGCGTTGAGTAGAGTAGAGTTGGGGTAGGCACATTTGAGAGTAGAGTCGGAATAGCGTAGTGTAGAGTAGCATATGTCAAGGTAGGGTAAGGTAGAGCAAAGTAGAGCATATTAGAGCATAGTACAACCGAATAGTGCACATTGTATAGCGTAGCCGGATCTAATACAGCAGAGCAGAACAGAGTGGAGTAGAGTAGCGCCGAGTCGAACAGAGAAGGAGTATAGTAGGGCAGGAGTCGAGTAGAGCCGATTCGAATAGAGTAGGGTAGAGTAGAGTGGATTATGGTGGGGTAGTGTAGGGTAGGGGTGGAGCAGAGTAGAATAGAGTACAGTCGAGTCGAGTAGAGTAGCGTAGAGTAGAGGATATTCGGTTAGGGTAGTGTAGTGTAGTGTAGAGTATATTAGGGTCGGTCATGGTCGGGTATGGTAGGGTGGGGTATAATCGAGAAGGATAGAGTAGAGCAGAGTAGGGTAGAGAAGGGCAGATGGTAGAGTAGAGTCAGGCCGAGCAGGCTATAGTATAGTGGGGTAGAGTCCATCCCAGTCCAGTCCAGTCTGCTCCTCTCCAGTCTACTTCAGTTCGCCCTAGTACACTTCTTTCCAGTCTCCTGATCGATCCTGAGTCTGCGTTGGCTGATCGTATTCTTCTTCTTCTTCTTCTTCTTCTTCTTCTTCTTCTTCTTCTTCATATTTTATTACATTATTTGCTTCGTTTCACCCTCCTACCTCTCTCCTCCTCTTCCATGCCCGTCTTGTTTATTACTATCGCTGGGGCATTCGGCCAGTTTCGCCAATCCTGGAAACAGAGCAGCTTGGGCGCAGGAGGGGGACGGGGGTACATTGGGGTAAGCTCCAGTGGAGGCGTAACGCGAGGTTGAAACTCCAGTGGCCTTTGGGCCATCCAGCCATGGCTCCCAGTTTGCGGTCCAGAGGCGGCTTGGAGGCCTTTGGGGTCTCTGGGGGGCCGTCCTGGGGTCCTTTGCGGCCCACTTGGTGGCGTGTTTGAGCTTTTTTGGGGCCTCTTTGGATTTTGGGAGCCTCTTGAGGATCGCGGGGTCATGTTCGAATGGGCGGCTTCCAGCGGCGGGCCGTTGGCGTGCTTTTTGGGTCCCTGTTGGGGCCGTCTTGGGGACCTCTTGGGCATCTCTTGGGGACCTCTCAGGGCGTCTTTGGCTGGTCTTGGGGGCCACTGGGGACGTCTTGGACGATCCTGGGGCCGAAGTGGCCTGAATGCAGACATGGTGCCACAAGTCAACCAGGTTCCATCGATCTTGACTTTTTGGGCTGTCCCTCACGGCCTGCAGGACGTCCGGCAGGCTCCCACGAGCACCGAAGCTGGCCTAGTGTCCTAAAGATGGGCCAAAGGGGCACAGAAATGGCGCGAGGCTTAAGTCGGGCCTGTCCCCCTACAGGGGGATTTTCGACGAAAAATAAAACATGCACCAAAAATAACAACAAAATAGTCCAAGAATATTATGGGGATTATGTTTTGAGTATGTTTTGATATTTTTTTGGGCATTTTTGGATTATTTTTGGGGTATTTTTTAATTTTCGTTGAAACTCCCCCTGTAGGGGGACACGCCCGACATAACGCGAGGCTCTCCAGGGGTGGGGGATGGGGGGCGAGACCACCCACGGGGCATCCCTGAGGACGGCCCCCAGACCCCCCGCCCCTCCTCGGCGGGGACGTGATCAACGGGAAGGGGCTTCCTTTCAACTGGCTTGTGAAGTCTTAGGACGTGGCTCGACTTTGCCTGGGCTGGTGCGCCTCAGGAGGAGGGCCGAGGATGAACGGGAAGGGGCTGATTTTTTGACCGTCGTGAAGTTTTGGGACGCAGCTTGACTTTCCTTGGGCGGGTGCGCCTGAGGCTGAGGGCCGAGGGTGGCCACACGGAGCGAGGGAAATCGAAGAAGAAAAACCGCCATAAACATGAACTTTTGGCGCTCGGCGTGGATTTCTTGGATCCGAGCTGGGCCCCCCCCCGGCGGCGCCTCCGGCGCCGCCCCTGGCGCGCTCCGCGCGCCAGGGAGGGGGTCCAGCGCAGATCCAAGACATCCGCGCGGACAGCCGAGCTTTTATGTCCATCTCATTGCTTGTTCCCCTAGAAACGACGTCTTGCCCAAGTCGACATGGTCGGCATGCACATCCGTCGCAACCTTTCGGCTTGAGCCGCGCCGCGTGGTCGACCACCGCAGTGACCCTCCCGACGTCTGGAGCCGCCGCGATGGAGGTCCGCGCTCTCGAGGAGCGGCTGAAGAAACAGGAGCGGCAGCTCCGCACGCTGGAGACCCAGGTCGGAGTCCTCATACAGGGCATGAACGAGCTCAGCCTCAGACAGAAGTCAGCCAACGAGACGATGGAGCTCGAAGAAGGAAAAACGCCATAAACATAAACTTCTGGCGCTCCGCGCGGATTTCGTGGATCCGCGCTGGCCCCCCCCCCCCCCCCCCGGCGGCGCCTCAGCGCGGATCCAGGAAATCCGCGCGGAGCGCCGAAAGTTTATCCTTGTGGCGTTTTTTCTTCTTCTATGAGCAGCTCGAGAGTCGCTCGCGCCCCCCCAGCATCGACGCCATGACGCCGCCGCCAACACGGGACGGCCAGCTGCTCGAGCGCGTGGACGCGCTCGAGGCGGAGGTGCGTGCGCTCTCCCGGGAGAGCTGGCGCTGCCACTCCCTCGAGGCTCCCCCAGCGGAGCTGCACGGCCACCACGTGCACGGCGCCAACAAGCACGCGGAGCACGCGCCGTCGCCCGAGCCCTGCGAGGAGAGCAGGACGGACGCCAAGATTCCCCTGGGCGTGCTGACGTCGCACCGGCTGGACGCGGGCGACATGTACGAGATGAACGAGTCGGTCTGGGACGGCTGCCTGTTCTTGGGCATCGCTCCCCTGGGCAAGCCGGTGTCGGCACTGATGGCGGCGATGTACGTCCTCAACGTCTTCGTGCAGGCGGCCTTCGTGATGATCGCCTGGAACTTCATGGTGGAGCCCGACGTCGGCACGGACACGCTGGAGGGCCTCCTCCGCTTCAGGGTCGGCCTCGCGCACAGCGTGGAGTACGCGGACACGGTGCTGCAGCGGTCGATGGCCTCCCAGATCTGCAACGAGGAGGACAAGCTCCACATGTCCGCTGCCCAGAGGACTCTCTACTCCGACTCGCTGGCCTTCTCCTCCGGCGGCCCGCTGCTGAGCCTCCTGGCGCAGCTGTGTTGGCTGGGCTCCATGGTCAAGGAGGTGAACGCCGCCTACAGCTTCACACGCTCGGTCCTGCAGGTCCCGCGCGGCGGGGTCACCGAGGTGATCACGGCCGACAGCTCGGCCGACGGCCTCCACGAGATCAAGGAGCTCACCAAGGAGAGGACCTCTGGGGTCGGCCTCCCCTCGGGCTCCCTCGTGGCTCTCACCGTGGTGACACGCGTCACGGCGCTGAGCAGGGCACGGCTGTTGTGGGCGTTGTTCGGGATCACGCTTCCCAGGGTCTTGCTCGCGTCTTCCGTGGGCTACGTTGGCGTGTACTTCCTCGCGACCTCCGCCCAGATGTCGGACCTGGTTCTCAACGCCATCGCTCTGGCCTTCATTATTGAGATGGACGAGTTGATCTACGACCTGTTCGCGCCGCGGCGGCTTCACACGCTGATGAACAACATTGAGCCCCTGCCGATGCCCCCGCTCCGCAAGTGCATCCCGGGTCTGAACTGTTTGCTGAAGCTGTTGTTCGTTGTGGCAGGCGTCTTTCTCATCCAGATTCTGCTGCTCGAGCCAGTGTTCTGGCGGTTGAAGCAGGCGCAGGATATCCTCTGCTCGGGCGAGCAAGATTTCGTATACGCGAGGAACCCAGCCACCGGCATGGTGCACGTGACCAGGACTGCGCAGCCGCAGGGGTGGTCCCAGATCGAGAAGACGCTCTTGCAGGTGGCGCGACCAGAGCTGGAGTCGAAGCACGGATTTGACCCAGGCCAGGAGCTGTTGGCATTGGCGGTATCCAATTTCTCCATGGCCGTGGTGACCCAGACAGGCATGAGTGCCTCCCTCGGGGGAGTCACACTCGAGGCGTCGGAGTTCGAACCAGGCTACTTCGAGGCTATCATGAACATAGGCTCTTGGACGGTGGGAGAAATGGCCGTCGTTCTGCCGTGCGTCGACCGAGAAGCTGGCGCTTCGTTTGACCAGGCGGACTGGTTCTTGGAGCAGGTCACGGGCATTCCTGGCTTCACCTGTACCGCTTTGTCTACCGCCAGTTCGGAGATCGATTCCACTTTTCTCGACTTGTCCGAGCTGTGCTCAAACCAGGCGATGGTGAATGTCCGCGCCCTATGCCCCGAGGCATGCGGTTGTCAGCTGGGCATGGCTGGGATGACAGGACTGTTCGGCACTGTGGACTACGGCTGTCCGCAGTCTTGCTACGAGTTCCAAACCATAATCGACCAGTGGACGTACTTCAACTTCAAGTACATCGGGTACACGCTGTATTATCCAGCTGCCTGCGGGAAGTCCCGCCACCGTGCCAGCCCAGCATTCCTGGTAGCAACTGTCCGAGGGTGGGATAACAGTGATGAGGATGAGAGTGAGGATGATGCTGTTGCTGTCGTTGAATCTTCATTATTGAAGACATTGCTGTTGATCCCCCTCACCAGTGCACACTGTGTTTTTCAATTGAAGTGCCCCCCTCGGGGCTCGCACCTTGTTATTATCAGGGACGGTCTTCATGCTCAAGCTGGGTTGTTGAGCCCCGAACTACAACACAACTTAGTCCAAAATCGTGCTCTCGCGCGGAACTTCCGCACACATCGTGCAGAAGTCGCGCTTTCGCGTGGGAATTCCTCGCAGTGTATTCAGACGCCGTGCCCTCGACCTTCAGGAGTAACTCTCTCTTTTGCCCTTCTCACGGTTTACTTGTGAATCGCGCTATCGCTCGAGACTTCCTCGTGATTCATGCACTACCTCACGCTTCAGCAACACGCCTGCTCCACCTGGCCGCTTGATCCCGCCTTCCCGACCTGCCAGCTAGGGTCTGCCCGCCCGATCTGCCTGTCTGGTTCTGCCATGTTTTTTCTGCTCCCCCCTCCTGCTATTTTCTTTCGTGCTCCATCCTTCTCCCTCCCCCTTCCATCCGTCCTCCCTTCCCCCGTTTTAACGGCTGCGCTACATGCACGTGGCATGGCAGGAAGATATACCCCCAAGTGGGTACGATCGAAGACGCATAGGGCGGGTACCGAGGGTTTGGGATATACATGTTGAGCGGCACGCGAGCAGATCTGAGCGATCTAGTGTTGTTGAGTTTTTTTTCTTAAAGCGAGCAACTTTTGTTGGTCCCCCCCCCTCCGGTAACCATGTTTTTTTCAGTTGGGTGCTCGGGGTCGGGCCTCGACGACGGTCGCGGCACCGCTCGTTGCAGTGTTTCTCGGGGCCATGTCGGCGTCCTGAGGGGGGTCAGACGGCCGTTTTCGGCGGCGAGCGAGGGGGGGAAGTGAGAAGGAGAAGGCCTTCTCAGAAGGCGGCGGGGCTTCTCAGAAGCCCTCGCGCCGTCTTTGGGGAAGGTTTAGAGAAAGGCTGGGGGACTTCCGAACCTTCTGAGAAGGCCTTCTCCTTCTCACTTCCCCCCCTCGCTCGCCGCCGACATTTGGGTGTCCATGGGGGACGAAGTGCGTCTGGAGTGCCCCGAATTTAAGCATTCCTGAGCCGTCTGAGGGGTCAGCTGTGAGCATGAGTGGTGTGCCGAATTGAGCCCTCCGTGGCCTTCGGAGGGCATTTTACCGGTATTGTCACGTGTCCCAGGCCAGCTTTGGCGTCAGCTGCATTTCTGAGAATACGGCGAATTCGCAAACTGCCGGGATACTTCCAGTTTCGGAGGATGTATTTTGCAAGATGTACATGTTCAACCCCATAAGTCTCAAAAAAGATCTTTTGTAGTCGCATTTTCGAGGATATCTCAGGCGAAACGTAGATATTTGACAAGACTACGAGCCCGCGAGCTCCCTGGGCATTTCAATTTTTCGAGGATATCTCGAGCCAGCTTTTTGTTTTGAAAAGCAAGTGATACTAAACCGCTTTTCAACATCACATTTGTTCGATACTGTCTTATTCGAAATGCCCATTTTCGGAGATCCGAGATTTGGCTAGCGATCTTGACACCTCCATTTTTCGGAGGATGTCTCAGGCGAAGCGCTCATTGTTAGCATAAGACGTCTTAAAAGCTAGAACCTCCAGCAGGCCGATTTTTCGACGATGCCTCAAGGGAGAACCTGGCATTCTGTGAGAATACCCGCGCGGTCGAAGGGCTCTCGGGCCAGCGAAGCCCCTCTCACCATGCCCTGTGCAGGCTTCTCCCTCTCCTGCATCACATCCTCGAGGAGGAGGAGGAGGAGGAGAAGGCGGAGGCGGAGGCGGAGGAGGAGGAGAAGGAGGAGGAGGAGGAGGAGGCGAAGGAGGAGGCGGAATCGGAGGAGGAGGACGAGGCGGGGGAGGAGGAGGAGGAGGAGGAGGAGGAGGAGGAGGAGGAGGGGGAGGGGGGAGGGGGGGAGGGGAGGGGGGTGGAGGAGGAGGAGGAGGAGGAGGAGGAGGAGGAGGAGGAGGAGGAGGAGGAGAAGGAGGAGGAGGAGGAGGAGGAGGAGGAGGTGGAGGAGGAGGAGGGCATCATACATCCTCCACGTATACCACGGCGATGGCCCGCAGAGGTCCCGCCGAAGTTAATCGCTTCGGTGATTCCGCTGGCCATGCTGTATCACTGTTGACATGTGGGCATGTGGGGAAGCCTCTCAAGGGGGTCTTGGAGTGCTCTGGGTTGCCAGAGTTGGGGGCCTCTTGGGAGCATTTTGGGAAGCCTTTTGGCAGCCTCTTGGGGCTTCTTGGGGGGCCTCTTGGGGGCCTTGTTGAGGCCTCTCTGGACCTCCTGGGTGCCTCTTGGGGGCCTCTTGAGGCCTCTTTGTGGTCTCTCAAAGGTCTACTGGCGGTTTGGAGGGTCGTCTCGGGGCAGAGAGCTGGAAATGTCGGTTCTTGGTCCCCCTCTTCGACCCCTCTTGAACCCCTCTTCAGGCCCTGTTGGGCCGTCTTATGGCCCTCTTGGGGGCTTCTTGGGCCGTCTTGAGGCGATCCTGGGAGCCTCTTGGGCCGTCTTGGAGCGTCGGGAGCCCCCCAACGCCAGAGCGCTCCAATCTTTCAAAGCACTTAGGGCAATCCATTTATTTTGCCTCTCTGGGTCCTCTTAGAGGCCCTCTTGGGTCGCTCTTGGGGCGTTTGGGAGGCCTTTTGGACCGTCAGTAATCAATCGTTTCAGCACACCGCTCACGCGTGTCGTGACCCCATAGGAAGCTCCACCGAAGGCCCCAGTGGCAGCGCCCACATGCGGTTACACCCGCAGTTTCGGTGCACCGCTCACACGGTTCATAACCCCATAGGCAGCTCCACCGAAGGCCCGAGGGGTCGCTCTTGAGGCGTTTGGGAGGCCTCTTGGACGTCCTGGAGCGCTCACGGGTCGTGTCGGACACTCTTGGGGCTCTCCTGTGGGGGCCCCGTGGGGCGCTCCTGGCGCGGTCTTGGGGGGCCTCGCGGGTCGCGCGGGGAGAACAGCCACCTCGGACCCAGAGCTTCGCGGGACTCTCGTGGGGTACTTCTCGTCTGGGGACCCCAGGGGCCGCCCCACGCTTGCGAATTAGACATATCGCCCACCTCTCACCAGGGATTCTGGTACGCCTTTGGCCCGTTGGGCCGTCGAGTTACAATTACTACGGCGACGGCGATGCTGGAAACTCGTCCAGGACCAAGGGTTCCCCCAGGGGTGCCTGTACCGATGCCTTGGACGTCGAACTGATTGGCGACCCGAGCGCTTCCCTCGCGTGCCTGGGAAATTTCAGCCATTGCCTGGAGCTAACGGGGAGGTTCACTCGCTGGTACGCGACCTACGTGAGGGGCATCATCCCTTACATGTACGGCGTGTGGGGGGCGAGCGAGCGCCTAGAGAAGATGGCAGCGGGGATGAACAGCGTCGGCCTTCTGCCTGTTGACAGCATCCAGAACTTCACGGCTCGATTCTGGGCTGGAGGCATTGCCGTCTCGCTGCTGGACAACACGTGGACGCTCGCGGACCCGCAGGTGCCGCACCCGCGTGGCCTCCATGGCTGCCGCTTCCTCGCGTCATACGAGCTGTCAGCCCTCTTGGGCTTTGACCTTTGCAATCCAGGTACACAGACGTCCATCCGCGGGGTGTGCCCCGTCTCGTGTGGTTGCAGGTCGGGCATGAAGGAATGTCCGTCCGCCTGCACGAACGTGGACTTTGGAGAGAGTACCGCGGCCGCTGCCGACACCGACAATGCGTCGAGCGCAAACGCCAACGGGACCGTCGGCGTCGCCACCGTCTCGGCCAGCACTGCCGCCACGAGCTCCACCACGGGCACCGCCACGTCGGTCACCACCACCACCGAGACGGCCACGAGCTCCACCACGTCAACGACTGGCACCCAGACGGCCACGGCATCATGAACACCGCCCTTCATGCCACGGCAAGGCTTCGGCGGAAGTTCTTGGCACAGAGAAGGACCCTCTGCGTCGATTTCACGCTGCATGACTCCTTGGTCTCTCCCTTCTCCATCCTCCCTCCTCCTTCCTTCTCCCCCCCTGCTCTTTCCCCTTCTCTCCCGTCCGCTCTCCTCTCCTCTCCTTTCCCTTCGTTGCCCTCTCCTCTCCGCTTCTCTCCCCTCCCCTCCCTTTCCTCCTTCCACTCTCTCCTCTCTCGTGCATCCTCTCCCCCCCCCCTTCCCTCGCCTCTCTCCTCTCTTCTCTCCTCTCCTCCCCCGCCTCCTCCCCTCTTCTATTCTCTCCTCCTCCCCTCGTCCCCTTCGTCTCGCAAGAGCGTTGGCCTCGAGTCTGCCCTGTTTTTGCCCCCCGGGCGACGGGCGGCCCCCCTGTCAGCATACCGGGCGCGCGCCCTTTGGTTCGTCACTGGCCGCGGGAGCGGACCTGACCGCTCTGCTGCACACAAGGCGAGCTCGCGTACGGGGGCGCCACGCAGCTCGACATACTCACAGTCCTCCTCCTCCTCCTCCTCCTCCTCCTCCTCCTCCTCCTCCCTTTCTTCCTTTTAAACAAACAGTCAGACCAGCAAGGTACAGTGGAGACCCATACCAAGAAACACCCTGCTTGCCTCCAGGGTGCCCTGGGTTTCTCTTGGGCTTCGAGATGGTTTTGCGACGGAAATGCGCGACGTTCCCACACCAGGAATCCATGGACGTCCTGGGGTCTCAGGGTTTGGGCTTCTTGTGGAAGGTCTCTTGTGGACTGGCCTCCATTGTACGTAGCAACGACAAACAAAGGACACCAGCGAGCCTCAAGCGCCGCCTCCTCCGGCTGCGCACCGCCCCGACGCCTTACTGCGGCAGCGTGCGGCCCAGCGGTCCCCGCCCGCCCTGGTCGCCAGCGGTCAGAGGTCGGACGAGGCCGTCCCACGCACAACGCTTCTCGACGCGGCGCAGCGCAGAGCCCCCCGTCGACACCAGGGGAACGAAACATTGCGCAAACACAAAAACTCGGAGGTCCGCGCGGATTTCTCGGATCCGCGCTGGACCCCCCTGGCGGCGCCTCCGGCGCCGCCCCTGGCGCGCTCCGCGCGCCAGGGAGGGGGGTCCAGCGCCGATCCGAGAAATCTGCGCGGACCTCCGAGTTTGGTATGTTTATTCCATTTTTCGGTCCCCGTCGTCACGGCCCCGGTCCGCCGCGGGAGCGGGGCGTCGCATGAGAGGCCCGCGTCTCTTCCTGCACCCCGCGAGGGCAGGGCGCGGCCGTCCCGCCCGGGTGTCCCAGGACGCCCCGCTCGTTCCTTGTGCAGGCTGGTCGCGGGAACAGGAGGCCAGATGCGAACCCTACCCCACCACCCCACGAATTCGAAGGGGGGAGGGGGGGTTCACTTCGTTCGGGACCTCCCGAGCGAAGTGAACCCCACCTACCCTCCTTGAAATATCGTGGAGTGGTGTGGCAGGGTTCGCATGTGGCCGCCTAGGGAAGTCCCGCGTGCCCGCGCCAGGAACTCCCCATCTCCACCTGGGAGCGGACCGCCAAGGACACCGAAGGTCCGCAACCGCCCACGTCGACGGGGCCGTCTGCCAGGTCTGCAAGATGGAGGTGCGCCGCCTCCAGACCGTGGCCAAGGTCAAGACGGACCCAACCAAGACTGTATAGGTGATGTCTGAGCTGCTGGTCCTTGAGGAACTCTCCGCGGAGTAGTTCTCAGAGGCCGCCCCGATCGTCGGCGTCGAGCCCGATGAGTCCACGGGGAGAATCTGATCAGTGCAGTCGGACTCAACCAGCGTAAGACGGCCAACCAGAAAAACCAGACAAATAAGCGGCTGGTCGTCAAGCACCTTGACGCCATCCAAGCCATCTTCCAGTCCCATGTCCCAGCTGTCCACGTGGTCGAGCCCCCGTCCCACCTGGGTCGTCACGGCGCCGCGGAGGGTAAGCGCAGCATGGGCGGTGTCTTTGGCGTCGCCCCTGATGACGCGGACACGGTCTCGCAAGAGCCGGGAGGTGCCTTGTTCATCCTCAGCTGCCGATGGGTGGGCGGACAAAATCGGTGACGTGGCGGGGCTTGACGCTGGCCTCGTTGCCAGGCTGGTGCGCCAGCGCCAGCTGCCCGCAGGATGCTCACAGTGACTCCTGGCCGCTGCAAGCCCTGAGGATTGTAAAAGGCGACCGCTGCGCAATTGAGCGTGCGCGTGCGGCGCGACGCCGCGACCGCCAAGCGCTGCCCACCTGCGTGGCTGCTGCCACTTGCGTGGGCTTCGGGGAGATCCGTCCCGCGGGCTGCGGGCTTGCGCAGATCCAAACCCTCCCACGGGCGCTGCCTCTTGCGCTACAGTCGGCAAATTTCTGTGCTTTTGTGAAGTCCTGCGGAGTGTGGTGCAGCGCAGACCCAAGCCACACCCCGCTTCTCTGGGCGCTGCCACCTGGCAACTGCACTTGCGGGAGCGGGAGGTCCAATGCAGTGCGGTCCTCGGCATACCCGAAGTACTATTGCTCCCCTCCCTGGGCGCTGCCAACCGCACAATGTTCGGCACTTTGTGAGCTCCCGTGAGGTCGAGCGGTGTGCAGTTCTACGGAGACCCAAAGTCTTAATCCCTTCCTTGTGCGCTGCTAAGTGCGCCATTGTCGTTACTCTCGTGAGCTCCTGGGATGTGCAGCGGAGGGGCGTAGAACGCCTACCATTGAGCTTCTGCCGGTCTCGCCTCGTGCAGCTCTCCTGGGGCGCGCCATGCGCAGGTCCCCGCGGCGCCCGCAGCAGGGGCACCGCCGGTCTTCCAGCGCTCGCTCTTCTGGGATGAGCCCGCTGGCGCTGCCGGGCGGGGTGGCGCCCCGGGGCACTGGCTGGTGGGGCTCCCCGCGAGCCCGGCCCCGCGCGCCTCCACTCCTCCACCATGCGGTTCTCTCCCCCTCTTTGTGCCGGCGCGTTTCCCCCGTGCGTCGCCGCCCGGGCGGCCGCCACGCCGCCACGCACGCTGGCGTGCCTGGCCGTCCACGTGCGCTTCCACGTCCAGTGCACGCCCCGCCCCGCCTCTGCTCCCACTCGGCCGTGCCGCCGCCACGTGCCGGCCACACGCGGCGTGATCGTCGCTGTGCACGGCGCGGCGCACGTGGGGTGGTGTCCTGCCGCTCTGGTCTCCTCGCTCGTGCGAGCTGGGGCCCCGGCTTCGGCCCCGGCTTCGGCGAGCTGGGGCCCCTGCCTATCTTCTCCTGCTCCTCCTCCTCCTCCTCCTCCTCCTCCTCCTCCCTCGGGGGCGCGCTCTGCCAGCAGGCTGCTGTGATTCGTGGTCGCGTAGAGTCGCAGCCCGCTTCCGCCTGGCCGTGCAATAAGAAGCGACGCCCTCGTGGCTGTCGTTCGAGGGCCTTTCGGAGCCAGCTCAGAGCCACAACGGCTTTCGGAGGCCCGTGGCGCCTCAGGAGTCGGGACCTCGCGGTCCCCCCGTGAGATGCCTCCCTCCTCCCCCTGTCCTCGTCCCCTCCTCGCTCCTCCCCCCTCCCTTCTCCCCCCCTCCCTTTCCCCATTCCCGCGCTTCGCTTTCTCCTCCTGCCCCTCCCATCTCCTCCCTTCGCCCTCTGCCCTCGTTTCTTCTCGCACCGTGGTCCGGAGGCCAGGATGCGAGGATCACTTCTTCCCAGCCCTCCTGCAGTGTTGGGTGTCCAGCCTTTCCTCCCCGCCTCCGCCCCCGCCTCTGCCCTCCGAGTGCCTGTTCTGCTTCCGGCACGCCCCTCGCGCGCGCGCCGTGGCCCCGCGGGAGCGCGACGGAGGGCCCAGCCGGCAGGGTTCGCATGCCCGAGCCACGCCGATGCGGGCACGCTCCTCGCACGCTTCGTGGCCCCAGGGGATCTCCACAGAAGGCCTGCATGGCAGAACTCGAGAAGCCCGACCGTGCCCATGCTGGCACACCCCTGACACGTTCACCCCTGACACGTTGCGTGGCTTCAGGGGAGCTCCACCGAAGGCCCACATGGCAGGTTTCGTATGCCTGCTCGCACCCATGGTACACCCCTCACGCGTTTCGTGACCCCATAGGAGCTCCGCAGGAGGCTCACATTGCAGGGTTCGTATGCCTGACCACGCCAAATCTGCCGCGCTCCCTACACGTGTCGTGGCCCCATAGGAGCTCCACAGACGGCCGAGATGGCAATGTTTGTATGCGTGACCACGCTCATTCTGGCCCACCTCTCTTGCGTTTTGCGGTCCCGTAGGAGCACTACAAAAGGCCCCAGTTGCAGGTCCGCATGCCTGACCACGCTCATTCTGGCAGGCACACTCCTCACACGTTTCGTGGCCCCGTAGGAGCTCCACAAAAGGCCCAAATGGCTGGGCTCGTATGCCTGACCACGCCTTCTTACACGATTCGTGGCCCCATAACGTGGGGGCTCCACAGAAGGCCGCGGTGGCAGCGTTCGCATGCGTTCTCGGGCCCTTTTCGGCAGATCCCTCTCACGTGACCCCACGAAGGCCCCAGCGTCGAAATGCATCTACCTATTTAATGGCGCGCTGCATTTTCAGGAGAAGCCATATCGTATGCCACTCGCAGTCTGATCGCTCCTCCCCCTCGTATCACCCGCCTTGCGCGGTGTTCGGAGCTGCATATGGTTGGATCCTTCGTCAGGCTGTCTTTTTCGAAATCCTGCGCCAGTCAATCAGCTGGCCCATCCCGTCTCCTCCCTTGGCCTGTCGTGCACTCTCCGCGATGCCTGTCGCATCTGAGCGGAAACCTTCGCTGGCCGTGGCCTCCACAGGAGGTTCTGGCATCGTGTCCGTTCAATTGTTCGTACGTGGTGGCATCGTGTCCCATCGAAGTTGTTATTGGGCATGTGCCTAATTTTCTGCGCTGGCACTTGGCAACCCGACGGTGGGCGTGCCTTTGCAAACAAATTCCGTCATTCACCACCACCACAGCAGCCAACATTGCAACCATGATTACGACAGCCTGTGACAGGCACACTTCGACGATCAGTAGTCTACCACCTTCAGTATCACCAGACCGCTACTACTACTATCATTTTCCTGCTCCGGCAATGTGACACTACAGTCGCGATTCAGTACGCACGGGAAGCGAGCAAATTCATTGCACCCAGCAGTGTGAATGAGAGCCGATCTGTGTTGAGAACGACCGCGGAAGGGGGCCAACGTGGACACGCACACACACAAACGCTCTTCCGCTACCACCCTCCATCACTGTCGCACCACCACTGATACACTACCACTACTACTACTACTACTACTACTACTACTACTACTACTACTACTACTACTACTACTACTACTATTACTACTACTACTACTCTTACTAGTATTATGTCGTTGACTACTACTACTACTACCACTACTACTACTACTACTACTACTACTACTACTACTACTACTACTACTACTACTACTACTACTACTACTACTACTACTACTACTACTACTACTACTACTACTACTACTACTACTACTACTACTAACTACTAACTACTAACTACTAACTACTAACTACTAACTACTACTACTACTGCTACTACTACTACTATTATCATTAGTATTATTACTATTACTATACTTTTAGTACGACCACCACCACCACCACCACCACCACCACCACCACCACCACCACCACTACTACTACTACTACTACTACTACTACTACTACTACTACTACTACTACTACCATTACTACTACTATTATTATTACTACTACTACTACTGCTACTAGTTCTTCTACTACTACTACTACTACTACTACTACTACTACTACTACCACTACCACTACCACTACCACTACCACTACCACTACTACTACTACTGCTACTACTACTAGTAGTAGTAGTATTACTACTACGTCTACTACTACTACTTACTACTGCTGCTGTTACTACTACTACTCCTGCTACTACTACTACTACGACTACTACTACTACTACTACTACTACTACTACTACGCTTACTATTATTATGTCGTTGACTACTACTACTACTACTACTACTACTTCTACTACTACTACTACTACTACTACTACTACTACCTCTACTACTACTACTACTACTACTACTACTACCACTACTACTACTACTACGACTACTACTACTACTACTACTACTACTACCAGGCTTGGGTGGGGTTGCACAGGCACAGCAACATGGCGCCATCCGTGCATTCTTTACCTTTTCGGTCCGTTGCCAAACAGAACTTAATTGGAATGTTGGCCAGTCTATCCCCCCACATATCTCTTCGAATAGTTATCTGCTGTCAGTATGGATTTAGTAGGAAGAGTGGTCATCCTACTCCCCTACAGGGTTCTTCAAAGGTTTTGGGTTGTCTTCAATGGGGGTTCAATAGGGGGGTCAGAGAGATCTTGAAACGTTCTGTTTATTTTTGTGTGGATTCAATACGAGTGGCGCCCATCCCGTCCACACACAAAGTTCAAACATGCTGTTTGCTTTCAACACGGGTTCAACAGAGAGGGCGGTCATTCCATTCTCCCTCGGATGCTTTGAGCTACTCAATTCGTTTTTGCTTGGGCTTCAATAGAAGGGGGGGCCATTCCTGCACCCTTCTTAGAGCCATCGCTGTTAGATGTTGGCGCTGAACGAGGACTCAATATAAAGAGGCTCCCAGCCCATCCATCCACAGTTCGCGTGTTCCGTTTACCTTTCGATGGGGGTGTCAATAGGAAGGGCGGTCCGACCCCCCGCACAGAGTTCTTCAACTATTCGGTTTGCTTTGAATGGAGGCTCAGCCGGAAGCTGAGTCATCCCATCCCCCCTTGTAGCAATTCAGGTTTGTTGTTTGTTTCGTTGAGAACTCAATGCGCGTGGATGGCGTCCACCCCGTCCTATTACAACGTTCACGCATGCTGTTTGTTTTCAACAGGGGTTCACTAGAAAAGTGCAGCCATCCCATCCCCCTCTGAGTTGTTTGAATTATCCATGCGCTTTACACAGGGGGAGACCATTCTACCACCCTTCTTAGGGCCATTGACGGTCTATATTTGCTGTCAATTGGGGTTCATGACGATGGTGGCCAGCCCATCCATCCACAGAGAGTTCATTCGTTACGTTAGCTTTTTGCTAGGGGGTCAATAGGAAGGGCGGCTGTCCCGCACACCCATCGAAATATTGACATTTGTTGTCGTGACGGTGTCAGTATGGTGCTTATCGCATCCCCCTACAGCATTCAACCATTCTATGTTTACCTGTGGTGAGTTAGTGCGAAGGGTGGGCATGGGCTGTCATCCCTTTCCCCTATCGCGGGCCCTTTTGAAAGAACGGCTCTCGGCTTACGCCCCGCGAAGATTGTATCTGCAGATGCCTCCAACGTGTATTCACGAGGACTGGCGTCGATCCCATGAACTCACAAAGGTATTGTGGTCTCGTTTGCTTTTGAATGCGAACTCAATGAGAACGGTGCTCACCTCACCCTCCCAAACAGTTATCGCATGCATGGTTTCTCACTGAAGTATATCCGGAAGGGCTTCGCCTGCTGCCGCTGGCCCCCTCTCTCTATCATAATGGGAGGTGGCAGAGCTATGCTGGGACGTGGCGGCGCGGTCTTGGAAACTTCTGAGCACATCACGCGAGGACGAGTGGCATTCAGCAAGCGCTTCGAGATATTGGAGCGATTGTTGAACGCTTTGTTGTCTCCTCTGAGCGCCAACCTGCTGGAATTCACGAGAGAATCTGGCCTCGGGAGCGCGACTCTGGTGCAATTTGCAAAAAGGAGGGTCGTGGATTTGGTGTCATCCAAACAAGGTTCTGGCCTCGGGAGAGCGAGTCTGGCGTAATCTAGAAGTGAGCCTTGCTTCGGGAGTGCGAGGCAGGTATACTTTGTACGAAGAATTTTGGTCTCGGGAGCGCGAACCGGGCGTACTTTGCAGAAAGGGTTGTTTTGGGTCTGGAAGCGCGAATCTGGCGTGATTTGCAGGGGATTCTGGCCTCGGCAGCGCGAGCCCAGCGTAATTCACGGGGTTCTTCTGATTTTTGGGAACGCGAATCTGGCGTAATTCGCATAATTTATTTTGGCCTCGGGAGCGCGAATCTGACGTAATTAGCCAAAACAATCTGGTCTCTGGGGCGCGAGCCTGGCGTAACTTACGATGGGGGGAACGAACAATGACATAAACATAAAAACTTGGAGGTTCGCGCGGATTTCTTGGATCCGCGCTGGACCCCCTCCCCGGCGCGCGGAGCGCGCCAGGGGCGGCGCCGGAGGCGCCGCCAGGGGGCCCCAGCGCCGATCCGAGAAATCCGCGCGGAGCTCCGGGTTTTATGTTTATATCTTTTTTCTTTCCCCTATACTAGAGATCATTGTCTCGTTGCGCGAGTCTCAAATATTATTTTTACGTGCCTCAGACCCACCAGAAATTCAGAGCACTCGATTCGGTCGTTGTAAGCGGGTGGTTTTCGTCTTCCCCCCTTGTGCAGACAGTTTCAATGTACAGCAGGAAGAAGAAAGCGAAACTGAAACGTTTGGAGACTGGAAGCTGGAACTGGAGCAGGGTGCTAGAAACCTCATCCCCTCAGCCTGATGGCCCCACCAGGTGGCTGGCGGACTGTGTTCGATCTCCACTTGCGTTTTTCGCTAAGGACTCCAGAGGAGGTTCATAAGGACCGCAGAGGCGTCCGCCAGCCGTTTCTCGTGAGACGTCTGGACAATTTATTGCTCATCTTGCTGATCTTTCTATGCTACCCTCCTTTCCCTACTATTGTATGCCCTGCGTCCTCCTTCCTAGTTGCAGGTGCGAAGACTGTCTGGATCACGTCAAGCATATCACTGCACTTTCTGTTCTGACCGTTTGACGTGTTCACCACCTCCAAGAGGTATTCCGTGACATGAGCATTTTGCCGTTGCAGAGTGTTCGTCGCCCAGAAGGTTGTTTGAGTTCTCCCTCAGGAAATATTGAGGAGTCGTGCGCTCTCCTCAATGGCGGCTACATTTTTGGTTTGAGCGGCCACGATTTGTGTTACACAAATACGTTAAAGGTGCACGTGGCCGTGCTCTCACCCCCCTCCCCTCCGAGAGGCCGTCCGGTCTGGCAGCAGTTTCGCTTGAGACTCCTTCGCAATTTTGTCAGGGCTCGTACTCTCGCCTAGATGCCGGCTGCATTTTTGGTCCGGATGACCACGACTCGTATTACAAAAAAACGTTAAGGTGCACATGGCCGTGCTCTCACGCTCTCACCCCCCCCTTCGAGGCCGCCCGGTCTGGCAGCCGTTTCGCTAGAGACTTCTTCGCAATTTTCTGACGGATCGTACTCTCGCCTCGATGCCGGCGGCATTTTTGGTCGATTGGCCACGATCTTTTGCTAGAAATGCATTCGGGTGCGCATGGCCGTGCTCTCACCTCTGTCCCCCATAGCCAGCCTCCTGCTCCTCGACCCGCCTCTTCACCTCTGCTGCTATCAGGGTGCTTTGCTGGGGAAGTAGGCTTTCCAGTCGGATGTCGGCTGGAGCGGGATGCGCCCCAGCTCTTTGAAGATGGGGAGGGCGAGGAGAGCGAGGAGGAGCGGATGAAGGCGAGAAGATGCAGGATGAGGGGCACGGGAACAGGGAGGATTAACATGTGGGAGGAGAGGGCAGATCGGGGATGGGGATGGGGAGGACCAGACATGTAAAGCCGCCGCACAAGCATTGAACAGTAAATCCCCTTAAAGGGGGTACACTAGAACATCTGCAAGATAATGAGGTGTCTAGCTATGAGTGCAAAACTAAGGACTCCCCAATGGAAATCATTGTGTCTTTTTCATGGGTTCATTGTTTACAATCATTCTCATTTGTGGTGCATTTGCAAGATGGACCTTGCTCGCAATTCCTTCGCAAAGGGAGCATAATTGTGCACCGGCCTTAACAGAAGCTATGTTAATGTACCTTGCAAAAGGCGTCTTATCGTAAATCCGCAACGATGAGGAA